GAAAAACCTTGGGCTTATATTCGATTCTGGCTTAACATTCGACCCACATGTGCAGCATACTGTCAAAATATATTTTTTTTTACCTTAGAAATATCGCTAGACTACGCCCTATGCTATCATTAACTGTGGCTGAAAAGCTGATCAACACATCTGTATTCTCTCGAATTGACGACTGTACTGCTCTACTTGCTGGGTTATCTAAATCTGCTCTGAACAAACTGTGGTATGTCCAAAATTCAGCAGCCAGAATCCTGACCAGGTCTAGTGCAAGTGTTCACATTACTCCTATCCTTGAGTCCTTGCACTGGCTTCCGGTCAAATTCCGTGTAGACTTTAAAATCCTCATGCTCACCTATAAGGCTCTGCATGGCTTGGCACCTCAGTACCTGTCTGAACTATTATCGCCCTACTCCCCACCTCTCAACCTTCGCTCTTCTAATTCTGCTCTCCTTACTGTCCCCCAAGCCCATCTACATTGTATGGGTGACAGGGCCGTTTCCTGTTATGCCCTCAAGCTCTGGAACTCTATCCCCAAGGATAACAGAGAGTCACCTTCTCTAAACTCCTTCAAATCTAGACTAAAAACCCTCTTATTCGGAAAAGCCTTTACTTAACTGGTTCCATTCTTCACCCCTCTGCTTTTCTTAGTACCACCATCCACGTCTCCACTGTGTATTGTAATTGTGTTTTATCTTGTGTGTTCTTTTTATTTATTGTTGTTGTCATCCTGTAAAGCGCTTTGAGAAGCCACCTTTAAAGGCACTATATAAAATAAAGTTTCTTATTATATTATTTATTACATGCCACAAACCACATATAGTGACCATGTGGTGGTACTTGTGGTCCTTTCTGTTGCTGTGTCAGGGCTGCCTGTGTCACTATAGTTCCTGGTAGAGGTGGAAAGACTCTTAAGAACAGCCATCTACCCCCACACCTTTCTCCAGACATCACAAGACATATATGCATTTACAACAGCAAGCAAAAAAAAGGAAAATACTCTGGAAATCAAGTCAAATTCCAAATCTGTAGTTTTATGTCAAATGTTAAGACTGGATTAATTAATGTTGTCAGAAGAATACATCTGTGCCGTTTCACTGCTCTGCTGTAAGCAAAAAACGACCATATGAGTTCAAGCAGAACAAAATGTAGAAGTAGATTGTGGTCTGTAAATGGTTCAAAACAAAATACAGGTGAACATTCCCCAAGAAAAGAAAAATTAGTGACACATTCAAATGCTTTGCTATTCTGTATTTTTCATTAACATACCTGCTCCTAACTCATCCTTGCACAAAAAAGACTGTGACATATATTAAACACTGCATTTGTACTCCTAAAAATGTAGAGCATAGCTTTGGTACAGGAATTAAAACATTTTTTATACATTTACTAACTAGACAATTTGCAGTAGGATCTCAAGACAAAGTTGCAAATCATAAAACAACAAAATATAATCCAAAAGTCCTAAAACAGTTGTTGTAAGCCCATACTATATTTTAAATTAAACTGGTGCAGTTGCTGTGGAGCTGAACCCCATTTTATAATCTTGTACTGTACTCATATCACTTTGTCCCACAATACTGAAAATATAGTTTTCAAATTGTTGTCTGTTGACTGTTGAAAATTATTAGCTGACTCCCACTTTCTGACAAATCTCACACTTGTGCAATATATTTTAATTAGATATTCTTGATAAGCACTATGGAATTGCTATTTATGTGGTTCAGTATTGTTCTTGTATGATATATTGTAAGCAGTATTTATTTCTATTTGTTAAATTGACCCCTGACATATGTAGATTATTTCCTTTTTATATATAATATAACAATAATTAATAATTGTTTAAAATTTACAATGATTTTCTGGACACTCCACTCAAAGCACTTTACAGATAATGGGGACTCCTCTCCACCACAACTTGAACTTGAACTTGAACTTTATTGCCATATGTAACTGGTACTGGTACAATGGAATTCTTACTTACAGAAAGTCTCTCGATTATAAAACAAGTGTAAAAAACAAAACAAAGTGCAAACAGTGCATCAAGACAATGTAC